TTAATTATGTTAATGGCTGTGATCTCGTGTCATTCTTTTAGACCATTAACACGTGACCACTTCCTTCATAAACTTAAAAGGTTGTCTGTGTAAAAATTATTTAAATACGAACTGAATACTTTAAGGAGCAAATTAATAAAATTGAAACAATGAGAATCAAACTAACAAAACACGCATATTTTAAAATTTTTTGGCTTCCCTATTTTGTCTTAGGTTCAATCCGGAAAAATAAAAACATTCATTATGCATTTTTCAGAAATTTGCCAACGTATATTATTAGTTCATGTGTTTGAGATAAGAAAGGAGAAAAACTAGAAGAACAATTTTTCAAAAACTCGCAAAATTAACTCAATAATTTTTACATGTTGAATTGGTGTGTCAATGACGAACTTTGGTCTACAAAAGTGTTAACACATCATACGACACTCTGTTGCTATGTATATATTTTTCCACTATTGATTTATTCAGAGCAAGAGACTTAGGGGGTCAAGGGTAATTCTGTAATTTAATAGAAAACCTTCCCATAATCATCTCTCCCATTCCCACGAACATCCCACCTGACCTAAATTGAAATCTCGGAGGGGCTGTTTGTTTGATAGGTTATGGAGGGTTTGGCTTTACCCCTGCACTTTATTAGACACTGCAAAACTAACCTTCACCGTGAAATATAACTGTGCATGTGTATCGCGCACAAAAGGCCGTGCATGAGAGAAGTAGAGGTATGCCATTCCCTTGGCTCTAGCTGCTTATATACGTCTTCTTCGTTGTAGGAGAGTGGAGATGGCTGTTGGTGCCCTCTTTCATTCATCCTTACAGTCCAAATGCTACCTAACCATAGGCGGAGGGAAGTAGGGCCAGGGTGGGCACGGCCCCCTCAATTTTTTTTTTGTTTTTTATTAGTTAGATATATCTATTATATATTTATACATATATATTATATGTGTCCCTCATTTATATTAGACCCACATTATTTACTTAAAATAATTAAAAAATTAAGTTCATTTAAAACAAAAAAAATTGAACTCACTATTAACTATCCAAACTTATTAAAAAATTAAATATTTGACATATCACAATCCACACAAACCTATTAAAAAAATAAAACTTTTAGCCCAAAATTAAAAACAAAAATTTTGGCCTAACTTAAAAACAAAACTTTTGGCCCACCATCATTAAAAAACAAAACTTTTGACCCACATGACTAAAACCTATCTTATCTTTCCTTTTTTTTTTCCCTCTCTGTATCACTCACTCCCAGTTGCCTATTGCCCACTACCCAGCCACAAGAAAAAGAGAAAAAACAGAGAAAAACTCAATACACGAGAAATTCAATTCCTTAAGTTTTTTTGTCATTCCTTGCACCAACCTATAAAATTATTTTATACATTATATTTACCCCCTAAATTTTTGAAAATTTTAATAATGGTTATAGTATTTTTTTTTTTTTT